CACAGGCTTCTGCATCTCTGAACACTATCAGTAGTTTGTCCTGGAAACCACAGTGATCTTTTAAGTCACATGAAGTTGTTTTGAGAATACTTCTGGATAGCATGCATGTCTGTAAACCAGCTTATACTGACTTACCTACATTTCAGAGTCCAATGTAAATAAATATACTGTTTCATAATTAAATTTCATATTTAACACTTATATTTGTTCAGCAGTTTAAATTAAACTTTTAGGTATTTTACTTACCGTGTGATTAATGATGCATATAAGGTGAAATAACTTCATGATTGCACTTTGCTGGAAAAATCTAGCATGTGTCAAAATGCCAAACATCTTTGTTAACTGTAGGATTAAGAATTGTTTAACTGGTTTCAATACTGAATAAAGAATGAAGGAATTGTGTATGGATTCATTATGAAAACCTGCCCTATTTATATTGCTTTTAGCATTTCCCTGTTCTTTCTGGATGTTTTAAGTTATAACAATGTGCATGTCATGTTCTAGTGGCTATGGTATGTGAAAACTGTATGCCTATTGAGAATTATTTTTACAATCCTTATATTGTGAAGTAAATTATGTATTGATCAGAAAAATGTATACAAATTTATCTAAGTGTAAGCACTAGAATATTGACTTGAAGGAAGATGTTCTAGTAATTTTGGAAACAGAAACACGTGGGAGTGCTATCACACTCTCAAAGAGTGATGGCAAAAATAGGACAATAAAAAAACGGCAAGACATACCATAGACTGTAGCATCATAGAAAAGGAAAAGTCATGAGAACTTCAGCTCTTCTGTGGAGGCATTTAATCTGATCCACAATTACCATTTTTGTGTGCTTTGTAGTATTTCTTCTCCAGTAAAGGGTCACAGTCTCAATGTCTGTGTGGAAAATCACCATACAGTAGCACTAAGAGGACTGGAGGAGCCTTGCAACCTGTCTCAAGTTTAAATTTCTGGCTAAGATAAGTAATCCACAATGCTTAGTTATCTCCAAAGATCAGGGCATTGTTCCTCATGTTCCAGAAAGGAATCCCTGTTTGTTTTTCCAGTTCACTTGCATGGAGATTAAAGGATGGTAAATTAATGGAGGCACACAATTCATTTTCCTGTCCATTGTAATTGTGGGTTCTGTGATCAGGTCTCTTATGTGTCATGGTGGGGCATTATCCCACAGAAATGATTAGTAAGGGTTACTAGAAATGCAACAATACTTAATGATAATCATGAGGAGTTGCTGGAAAATCCTCCCAAATTAAAGCATGATGTATTTTTTCTCTCTTGAACCCTGTAGATCAAGGCAGGGTGGTGTAGGGAAAAGCCTGAGCCCTAGAATTAGTTTTAAATATAAAAGGAAATTACCAAAACCTGTGGCTAACTCATTGCAACAATGACAGTGTTTCATCTTGGACATGGAGATGCTTAAGTTACCTCCTTAAAATGGAAGAATGTCTGTGAGCGTTCAAGCTGTTCACTGACTGACATGTCAGGTAGCACTACCTGAGGTGTGGTGCCACAAAAATACATCTGTACAGCTTTTGGCCTTAGTGTTTCCTGATGTGGTGGTACCTTTATGAATTTGCAAGCCTGTACCTGCCATAAACATAGAGTCTCTTCACTGTGTCACACACTGTAGGCATTTTTTCCCATGAGTTAATGATCTTTATTGGTCTTTAAATCAATGAATTTACATGTGAAAGGCTAAGAACTCAGAGAAAAAATGAGGCAAGATTTTTCTGCACTGATGAAGTTAACACTGGTCATGAGAAAATTTAAACAGATCATGAAGGTTTTGATCAGTAGTGTTGTAATTGAAGTAATTTCAATATTGGGCAGTGCATGGGAAGTCCAAAGAGTAGTTCCAGGTTGTGAGAGAGAAGGAGCTGACAGAAGCAAGAGCTTTTGGGGCAAGAGGTGGGAACAGGTTGGTTGTTATACCTGAGGATTTCCTACTCATTTGAGTGAGAGAAATTTAAATGTATTCAAAAGAGAAAATATGAGGAATTAGGTAAAGAGGACAGGGAACTAGATGTAATCTAAGTCTTAAGGAGACAACTGGCCTGGCATTTTACTTCTGTGCACCAGAAGGACATAATAAATATAATTATTCTAGGACTTCAGTGAAATCTGAGCAAGTTGTGTCCTTTTGAAATAAAATTATTTGCGAAAAACCTGTCTGTAATGAGTTCATTTCTGTTATAATATACCTTGACCCTGGAAAATATCTGATAAAGTTTAATTTGGGATACTAGTTGTTAAAAGTATTGAGCTTTTTATTGGTTGCCCGGAGTTCTGTAGCTTTGTTCTGGCTTTTTAAAACTTGGTGGTAATTTTACTGGTCTGTTTTCAGAGCCAGCTACTGTATTTTGTATCCATCAGCATCATTCCATTGGCTTGAATGAAATAATAGTGCTTTACATAATCTGTTGACCTAGCCATTTTCTCTTGAAAGCTTATCATCAGTGAAACAATAGAAGAGGAGAAATATGCATAAAAATAGTAAATGAAATTTTCTTTGGTTGAAATGTTATATAATGATTTTGCCTGTATAGCATCAGTAAAACCAAATATCAGGTCACTTGCCTAGAGAAATCCTCATCTGAAGACACAGAAAATTCAATTCCCTGCAAAGCCAGTACAGAATCAACCTGGCCCGAGTCCACAGTTTGTTCATAATTGATCAGTGTGGGACTTTCTTTTTTAGATATGTTTTTTACAGCAATGAGAATATTTTGTGGGACACAGTTTTTTGGGGTCGAGAGAAAATAAATAAGCTGAAAATAAGCCTTGGGTATTTTTCCATGGTTTTAAAACATCTAAGTGATAAATTTGCACTTCTACAATGAATACAATGAAACCCAAACTTACTGCCTCATAGTTAAAGGTCTTCTACTTGAAAGCCGGAAAGTTTCTTTACTCTAACTAGAACTTGGTGAAGAATTCTATCCAGGAGTCTGCCTAGGTACGCTGACAGAGTAGCAGGAATAGGCACTTAATTATTGCTTAATTTGCAATTTCAATTGAGTTTAATTGAAGAATTAGGATATTGATTTTTTAAACTTTTTTTGTATGATATCACATGAATTTCCCCCCACCATTTATGGGAGTATTACTGAACTGTGGCAAAATGAGAATAGAGGAAGGATCTATTTTCTTGTTAAAAGGAGTTTGGCAGGTTTTATTTTATCTAAAGATAAATTCTGCTTAAAAAAAACAACAAACCCTGACTGTATTAATGTTTAAAATCAGTGCAATATTAAGGTCTAACTTTGCCAAACACTGAACTTCTCCAAAGTGTTCTCTGAAATTTGTACCTATTTAAGTGAAGACAAATAGGTTTCTATATGATAGAGATACCACTGAAATAATTTTGCTAATGCATAACGATGTTATTGAAGCAAAGAATTTTAAGACCTAAAATCCTTTTTACTACCGTAATTCTTTTTTTGTTTTTCAAAATGTAAGACAAGAGCCATACTTACTAGTTCATTTATTTATGTGTGGGTTTGAGGCATTATCCTTGTTCCTTTCCTGAGCTTGTTTGAAATGTTCATAAACAAACTTCTGGTATGTTCTCTTACAACCCAATTAATTAGAGAGTTATTCTCCAAAGAGAGTAAAAAGATGAAATTTATTTTAATTAAGACAAGAGAAAATACAAAAGAGAAAGGGGAAGCAATGAGTAAAAAAATGAGAAATAAAGACAGAACCTTTGATTTTGCCACTTCTTGAAGTTATCTTTGGATGTATTGGCGTGGTGGGACTTGCAGTCAGACACAGGTTTATTCTAGTTGCAATTTTTAATTTTAAGTGTCTGTATATGATCCTTCTGTTAAATGGAAGTTGCATAGCAGTATAAAGCCTGCAAAAATACAGCTGAGGATTACCTAAATTGGTTGTGCTTTTAAAATGTTCCAGACAGTTTTATTTTAAGGTTTTAAAATCAGTATATTTTGCAGAGCTAATTTCATGATAAATAATAAGCTTTAAGCCAACAATCTCCAAAAGTATTTCTTCCTTAAAAGAATATCCAATCCAATAATTCTTCCAATGTAATACTCCCAAAACTTACATTTACCCTAAAAATTTTCAAATAATGCTGTTTCTTTGCTAGAATCAGGATAGCTGTCTCAGTAATTGATATGATCTGTGCAGATGGATATTTTACTATGTAATGAGTGTATTTAAGGTAACACAGCTTATTTTGCACTCCAAGCAGACAGGCTCCTGCTGTGCTGGCCCACAGTCGAGTATGAAGGATAAGTGATTTAATCACATTGAGATTAAACACGGTTTCTGCTTATGTCAATTTTTTATCATAGTTTGAAAAGCAGTTTTAAAAGTAATTTTTAAAACGAATGCAAATCAAATTAAATATTTCTGTAGTATCATGAGTTATCCAGTGTTGTAAGTCACTGAATTTACATGACAGATTTCTTAGTCCAGCTTTGGAATGGGTATATGCACTGCTATGGAGATATTGGGGAATGTAGGAAAGGTGATTATAGATCATCATCTGCTGCAGCAAGTGCATTATTGCATCTTTTGGTAGTAAAGCTTACAGATATGTGGTTCTTGCTTTGTTCAGGCTATTAAAAAGTGCAGCGTGGAAACCAAAGTCACTGTAACAAGAATCAATGATGTAATCCAAATTAAATGTGCATACTCTATTAATGTGTATCAAAGAATATTTTATCTATAGATGAAAAGAAACAGTGATAGAAATTATTAATTGTGAATTCTTGTTTTCCATTTCAGGTCAAGAGATGGAGAACTGAATTTCAGTTTCCATATGCAAAATAATGTTATGTGGATACTTGCATTATTCTGTCTTATCTTGGTTATAAATAGTGGTTTTAAATGCTTGTATAAAAAGCCATGAGTGGTTTATAATTACCTGTATTGTGTGTGTCTCTGTTTTTAAGACATTTCAAGTCTTCAGGTATTATCTGAGGTAGCCATTTCTTGCTAGATCTGACAGGATTCATGTTCTCTTTCAGGAGACGCTGATAGATTGGTGTGATGAAAAGGAACTTAATTTGATTTTAACAACCGGAGGAACAGGGTTTGCACCACGAGATGTCACTCCAGAGGTGAGATAGTCCTGGAATAGAAAAATCTGCCCTTTGGTGTAGAAATGCATGAGTCTGGAGGAGGGAGGTGATTTGTTTTGTTGGTTTTTTTTCAATTTCCTCTGTAACTTCGCAGTATCTCTGGACAGGTCAAGTTCTATTCAACTTGGAATCGGAAAAAAAGTAATCGAAAATATAGAACAAAAGAATTACTGACCTTGGGTTCTGACCCAAAACGATTTTCAAACTAAAATATGGTATAATATAATGGTTTTCCAGTCCCCTTACAAAACAAAATTCTAATGGCTTTGTGGTCTAGTTTTCCTTAGCACTGCAGTACAACAGTGCTAAGCAAAATCCTGCATGGCTTTGGTTGTGTCTTGTGCAAGGAAGAGTGGGATAAGAGAGATCCTGTAATTGTCCCTTGCAGAATAGTGCATTGACAATTACTGCATTATAGGTAACAGAGTGAGGCAGACAGAAGGGGAAAACAATTCCATGCAAAGCTACTATGGATTTGTCAAAAAAAAATCTAAACGGGCACAGAGGTGGAGGTAATCTGCACCAGTAAATGTTGCTCAGGAAATTACATTACACTTATATGGAGCTAAAGGAAGGGGGAAAAATGAGAAGCTTAACCTAATGACCTCATGCCCATGAGTTGTCATGTGAAATGACTGTGTGATTGTTCTTGAACTATTTTGGTATTTATGGTTCCAAATTAGATTAACATGAGCTTTTAAAATCATATATTTTATTTTGTGTGATTATGTTTGCTAAAGGGCAGAATTGAGATTGAGTGAGTTGTGTTTTATTTGCATAATTAAACATATGTAGATTTCGCTTAACTACTCATGTATGTTTTCAATTTCTTAGACTCTCAGGTTGATTTGAGTTCTTTTTAGCATATCTACAATGTTTTTTACTTAAAAATGTTTTGTCGATGCCTGAAGTTCAAAAATCTTTTCCTGTTAGGAATCTAAAAACATTTTTTAATTTATTGTATAACATTTGTGTAACCAGAGAAACATGTAAACTAAATGCTACTGATCGTTACTTCTGATGGTTTTAGATTTCTGTACCAGAAACCTTGAGTAACTAAAACCTGGGGGAGGCAGTCTGTGTATCAGGAAATGGGAACAATGTTAAGATGAACACAGTGTGGTACCTAGCCAAATTGATTTTGCAGATTATTCACTTTGCTAAAGCCACCACAAGGGAAAGTGAGTTGGTTAAATTTGTCTCTTGCTTGCAAATTAACATAATGCTTTTGAAGGTTGTGTTACCAGGCCTGTGTAGAAGCAGGGATTAATTTCTGCTTCAGTTTTCCTTTGTGCAGGGTCAAGCCTAGGCAGCAGTGCCAGACGAAGCACTTTAGCAAGTGCAAAAAATTAGCTACAGATTCTCAGCATTTGGGACAAAAAATGAATGAGAACTCTGCACATTAACACCTAGTATTTTCTTTACACTGTTACTCAAACTAATTAACACAGGCAGGGATGATTTTTTTCATCAGTTTTGTTGTGTAAGCCATTCTGAAAGTTATCTGAGTTGTTACTGTGTCTCAGTATAATAAAAACACATTGATATAAAAATCATGAATAACTCGTACTGAAGAAAAACTGCATTGTTTTGAAACATAAGAGATGTGCAAGACTTGGACTGATCACAACAGAAACAAATGTTCTGACTGTCAAATTAGTCCCATATTTAAAAAGAACTTATCTAGAAGAGTCTTTACTCACTTTTCACTTAATTAAATTGGATTAATTTAAATCACAGTGGAGATATAGAATCCCAGGTTTATTACAAAGTGGTGATGACAAGCCTTGTTCCTGTGATAGGATTTATTACATCATTCATTCAAACAAATGTTGTGAAGGGAAGAAAATCAGTTTGCCAGTATGTGTCATACCAAAAACATACTAAGAAGCTTAGGTTTTGTCCCCATGTTTTATGTCTTTTGGGTCAATGAGAAAACTCAAAATGGAAAATTTATTATGTCAACATGAAATGTGCAAAACAAGCCTTTAGGAAAACTTGCATTGATGTGGGAAATGGTTTTCATGCCTTGTGTGTATGGTGTTGGTTCAGCACACTCTCATCACTGAACTGATCATGCACTAATGAAAGGATGTGATCGTGGTATTGTGCTATTGAGATGTCATCTTTAAGATGTTAATTTATAACTTTTAAGAATTAGATTTGATAATGGAATATGTTTTACTATTTTTCCTTAGAACAGAATCAGTAGTCTGTTGAGTCATCCTTCTGCTGGTAGGTTTCAGGCCTGAAACATACCTCCTTAATTCCCCTGTACTTTGGATTAGAAATCAGGTTTCTCTGTTTCTTTTCTAATACAGATATATAATTGCTATTGTACATACACAATAAAGGTAGTTCCCAAGAATAATTGCAACCCAAAGACTTAATTGAATTCTGTAATTATTGATAAAATTGACATTAAGTGCTTAGCATAATGTAGCTAAAAATGGCTTCTTGATACCTCAGAAATATCTAATTAAGCATCCCAAAAAATTAGTAGTTTCCCCACTCACTTTGCCTTTTGAACACTATATCACATCCATTCCAGGTTATTGCAGGTGTTTCAGGGATGTGCAATAACATCTTTTTCTTGTAATGGAATAGAAGATTTTAGGAATATTCACAATATCTGATTTTCCTTGAGTGTCTCCAATCCCTAAATTTATAGCCTCGGTCTAGTGGAGAGGAGCTTTTGAATTAGTTCCTACAATTCACATTTTGAGGGGTGAAGGTCACTTTACTTAAAGCAGTGTGAATATCCCTCACTTTCTTGACTACACAAGTAGAAGTGATGAAATGCATGTGGGTATTTAAAAAAACAAATTCACTCAATGGATGGCTGAATTTGAAAGTAAGTGTGTGTAATAGGTGTTACTAGTGAATGCTGGAAATTTTAATCATTATGGCAGTTGCTGGTAGTTTGCATTTGTACTAAATGCAAACTGAAGTGTAAGCCTGATTTTTTAGATACAACTGCTTTTTTTATTACAATGTAATTTTACATATAATTTATGGAAATAGTCTTTAAATCTCTGCTGGAGTTTGCTCATACAGTCTGTTTGTTGATTTTAAAGTGTTTGTTGCTAGACAGAGATCCAAGCATGGTTCAAGTTAATTTAGTTAGGGAACTTTCATTTTTTATTTCCAGATGCAAACATTTATTTCTTGAAGTTACAATACTTCAGTGGTAATTCTTACAGAATGTTGATAACAATATACATTAACTTTTGTGAAAAAAAATAAATAATGTTGCAGCATTTTTATCAATTGCTAGGAATCTTTCTGAGATATTAATGTATTTTCTCTGTTGCTGTTGCTCAGTACAAAGGGAAAGAAAACATCTCATGTATATGGGTGCTCTGCTCAGTTTTCTGTCTTCTGTATTTTTACATTTCTTCTTTTGCAATACTGTACACTCAAAAAATTCACTTGTTTGTGTCCTAACAGTCTTCTAGCTGCTTTCTTATCCTTTGTCCCTGGTATGATTCTGTGCGAGTCTGGTTTGCCCATCTATGAGACCAATTTTATGTACTTAGATAACAGCAGTAGAAATCACCATATTGTCCTCAGCTGGGGATAGGCATTCTTGAACTGTGTCACAATGTGTATTGGCCAGTGGTTCATCCACACTGCAGGTAATTTTGAGCCCTAAGATTTTAAAATAATACTTTATAAAAAACATAAAAGAGCTGTTTTCCAGGATGTAACATCAGACAGTTATTTCCTTACAGTCTTCCTACTTTTTGCGTGTTCTGGAAAATTTATGAATGTTTCTTTCAGTTCTTGCTATATATAGTCTTCAATATTTATGGACTGGTTTAAAATGTATTTATAAAATGTATGTATAACATACTTTTTAAAATTCTGTCTGAAAAGAAATGCATACTTATTTATTCTTTCATCAGAATTCTCTGGCCCGTGAAAAGAAATCATTGTTCTCTGGAACGCCCTTCTATTTGTCAATGTTTCTGAAAAATAATGCTCAGAATGAACAAAATATCCCAAATATACCACACAGAAGCCATATTTGGATAGAAGCAAGTCTCAGTTCTTCTGTAATATGTCTTTTTATATTCAGTTCAAAATTTCACCAGTATTTTTATAATTATGGCCAAATGCAAATTTTCTATCATTTGGCTCTTCCCTATAGTCTGAGGTATCTCTCATGGATTTTTCTTTATATTCCATTTTACTTCAGCAGACTATTTTAGTATCTATATCTTTCCATTTCTCTGTCTCAAGTAATGTTGGAAACCTTCTTGATCTCTATTGTTTTCAGTTTTCATGTGTTTTGTTTACTTCCACTTAAACTTTCTAATGAAATAAGATATTTATGACACAATAGGACAGTCATGTTATAGCCATACTCTCACAGCCACACATTTCATCAAAGTAACCTAAGTCCACTCAGACTTAAATTTTTCAAATAACTATTTCCATTTAATAGGCAGAAACTTAGACTAGAAATGATATATAGGAGATTTTTGTCCTTCCTGGCTCAAATACAGCCTTTCCAGAGCAGCAGGATTTTTATTATTGTTTGTTGTGGATGTAGGACTACTTCTGTTCTTCCTCAGCAATATTTTCTTATTGGCACTGGACCAAAAGAAAATAATTTCCATTTTACAGACTGTCACTTCAGAATGGCTCCATAGTGTGGAGGAATGAAGGATTCATCTCACATGGGACATAAGTAATTTTGTGGTAGGAATAATATGAAATTGTAAGTTCTCTAATAACTCAGGCTAATGTTTCAGTTTTTCACCCTTCAGTACTCCAGGTACCCTCCAATTTAATAGCTATTTTAAGGAAATATTTTTGTAGTTTATTTTAAAACTGTAGCTTTTTCATATCTCTTATGGAGGTCTTGCTCTGAGTTAAGTTTGATTTTTGTGGTGAGCTATTGTATGTATGTGCTGTGTGTGGATGATTTGCCATCAGACCTTTTGAGGCCTTCATAGTTCTTAGAAAATTGT